TTCTCACCTCTAGGTGTGGGTAGAATAAGATCAGAACACGCTTGGCGACAGTCACATCCTATATCTCATAACGAGAGAATAACAAAAGAAAGTTATTGCTAGAGAAGCATGACAAAAGTATTCTCATGCTTCTCTACCAATAGCTTTTTTTCGTTGTTCTCCTCATATGAGATATATATCGATAGTGTCCTCTTTTTATACACATATATACCCACATTTTTACTCGATTAGTCACTCTACTAGTATCATGAAACTAGAACTATTACCAAACGAAATATTAATTGAATGCTTAGTATATCTCAATACATTTGAAATATTTTATTCATTTGATACATTAAATTCTCGTTTTTCTCATCTTATTCGAAATACTCCAATATATCTAAATTTTCAACATATTCATAAAACAAAATTCTCTCGATTTTGTTCTGAAATCTTACCCGAAATTAAACAAAATATATATTCATTACATTTATCAAATAAAGATGCATGTGGTGAAATTAATGCATTTTTCTCATTTTATTTACTTGATGATTATTCTCATGTTCAATCATTATCATTAACCTATCTCGAAGAAGAAAATCTTTCTCAATTAAAATCAATTTTACCATTATGTACATCATTACATTCATTCCATTTAAATTCTTCACAAATTGATGACGAACAAATAATATCTGTATTGCCATTAGGTCATTTACAAAAATTATCAATTAAAACATTAGAATCTTTTTTAATATACGTTCAACAACCAACAATAATTACACATTTAATCATTTCAAAATGTTCATTGGAACAGTTAAGATATCAATTATTAGAAATTATTCCTATGTTACAATATTTGAACATTAAAACTATTACAAGAGATAAACAATCAATAATAAGTGATACAAATCATCGAGCTATTCATTTAAAACAATTGATAATTGGTCAATTTCGATATCCATTCGATGCTTTTGCGGATTTTGTTAAACAAACACCAAATTTACGAAGTTTAACTTTTGCAAATGCGATCAATGATCAAAAATTCATTAATCCAAATGAATGGGAAAATTTAATAAATGCTTCTTTATTTAATTTGAATACTTTCAAATTCAAATTGACTTGTTCGCATCTATGTCGTGATGTGGTTTCATATAATTATAATCGATTTCAAAATGGTTTTTGGCTTGACCAACATCATTGGTATACAGAATTATTAACAAATAATACTTTACATTGCATTTATACCGTACCATACATATCAAAATCATTTGAGTTAGAAGAAAATACAAAAAGATCAAATTATCGATCAATTAATATATCAAATATCTTTAAACAAGTAGAGAATTTAACATTTATTTATAATGAAACAAAAGATTATTCTTCATTTTATTTCCCAAATGTTATTTCATTAAAAATACAACAAAAAAAAGAAACAAAATATCTTCAATCATTAAAATCAATTGTTAATCTATCAAATATCAAACATTTGGATATTTCATTATATCAAAAAGGTAGTTTATCAGAAGAATTAATTGAAATATTAAGAGAATCATCACAATTATCGTCCATAACAATCGATCCAATTAATTTAAAATTGTTATTTAATGATAAAGAATTATGTTTATATATGAATAAAATTATTAAAAAATTGAATATACATAAACATGGTTATTATTTATTTGAGGATTCGAACCAAGTAGCCACATTTTGTGCAGTATTCTCCAACATTCAACAACTCCGATGTTCAATTAAAGCACCGAATTCTATTATTTTCCTCTTACAACGATTATCAAAATTATCTACTATTCATGTTTATCTACGACGTATTTCTGACCGTAACCTTTTTTATGGTTTAGTTGAAGAAGTATTTCGGGATTGTAACTATAGAATTCGTATCAAAGATGTTCGTTCTAATTTAATGAAATTATCTATTTGGATTGATCGATATTATGATTAACTTTTTCTTTCATTTATTGAAATTCATGTTATGTTTTGTTTTTATTAGAAAATAAAATACGATTATCTTATGGTTTTTCACCAAGACATGCATGTTTTAGTTTTAGCGTTTGACTGAGTTTTATTTCATATAATTATAATAATCATTTTTTGTCACTATTCATTCCACAGGATTACATTTAAATTATTTATTCTACACGAACGGATAACATTTATAAATAAAAGAATAAAGGGTCAAAAAAACTTAAATTGTCATGAATTCAGATACGAGTGTTAACTCGAACATTTGCTAATAAACTCATCGGAATATGCTCTGCAGTTTGTTGCAATATTCGATTACATTTAAACACAAGTAACGCTCATCCGATGGATTCGCTGACCCTTTTCTGAAAGAAGATTTCCTATGATTATCATTAAAAATGATTTTCATTTTGAATACATATTAACAAAAGAAACCTGGACAGGCTCTCATCATAAAATCTTAATCGACCATAGTTCATGTTTAATTAGAGGAATAAACGATCAGTCGCAGCCGTATATCTCATTTTTTGAAAAACTGACTTGATTCAAAGAGTTTAAGGATTTGTGACGTTGTATATTCGAGAATTCTTACACTTTTAAAGTTATCTTAGCAAAGCAACCTTACTATTCCCGAACAATCAGGAAAATTGATGTTATGAAAAAAATTGATCCTCTTTCCAAAGTGTATTCAGCAAGTTTAATAGAATAACTAAACTGCTATGTTTCGGCTCACCCCGAACCACGACTATACGAAAAAAAATAATTCATTTAAAATGAGACAATCCCGAACAGCTCTTAAAACCTTTTAGGGTCGTACAACTACATATCTATTCCTGCTCGCGCCACAACAAGCAAATAATGCCATGTTTGCATTCACAAGTCCTTTACTGAATAGGTGTTGTTAGGTCAAATGTGTAATTAAGATTTCTTTTTAGCTGAAGAACCGAATCACTTAACAGTTTCGCAAAAAAACACAAATCTCACTTACTACACTTAGGACAAACCATTTAAATCAACGCCTAGTCGTTCGTCGGCCTCCCTTCGGTCGGCCACTCACGGCTAGCCGTTACCAAATTATGCTACATTTTTCTATCTATCATCTGTTACATTAAGATTTTTCACGTGCATCAAAACTATTTCACTCATAACATATCGATTCGCAATCGAAAACTTCCAACTTTTAGATAGCACTACGTATTGTTCATCATGGTTTCCAATTTCTTTTTATTCTGACACAACGATATGCTGCCGGATTCTTTCTCACATTAGTACTCATTAAGTGCTCTCAAAAAACCATTTGAACTAACTAAGACTCATTTCAAAGCTGTGCTTTAAAACAACCTTTAAAACTAACGTCTACCTATTCGTCGGCCTCCCTTCGGTCGGCCACTCACCGCTAGCCGTTTCCATGTTTAACCCTACTATTTCCTCCACTATTAGTTTAGCTTTGAAGTGAAGAGGTGCATTTCGTCTGAATTTTTCTTAGAAGGATATTGAGTATTTGATACTATGATTCTTCAGAAGAAACTAAGAAAAGGAAAACTATGTTGAAAACTGTTACGAATACAGTATATTACATTGTCCCATAGGAAAGATCTTGATTTGTTATGAATTTTATTGCACAGTTGTTATTAACGACAACTCAACTGCAGAATTTTCAACAGCTATTACCTTTTTTAAAACTATTTATTTAAATTTTACCAAAAAATCCGATTATAGCTATCAAAGAGGAACCGGCTGGGTGAGGGTATTCTCATCCCGATAGCGATCTCGCTTTCTAAAATCGGTGCTCGTTCTCGTCCCATTTAAATCGGATTTTTTTCAATCTGCCAGAAATAGTTTTTAAACACATGTCGAACAAGCGAATACTCACACCCACCGTATCCAATAAACTTTTTTCGTAAATACATATCCTTTGTGTAAAAAAAATGAGGGATAAGAAAATCTTAAAAAACTAACCTCGAATTCGAAATCCCTGCATCAAAATATCTCTAAAAATATATTTTTCGAAAAATCAATATTGGATGTTTTTTTAACCTTTCACCCACCCACCAACTTATTCACCCACCACCTTCATCATAGTCACCCAACGGACTTCGTATTCGAAATCCCTGCATCAAAATATCTCTAAAAATATGTTTTTCAAAAATTGATATTGGATGTTTTTTTGACCTCTCACCCACCCACCAATTTATTCACCCACCCCCTTCATCATAGTCACCCAACAGACCTCGGAATCGAAATCCCTGCATCAAAATACCTCTAAAAAAATGGGCTTCGAAAACTTTGCTGCAATCTGATTGGTTTGGACGGAATGACGGAATGACAGACAGACAGAAAGACAGACAGACAGAAAGACAGACAGACAAACTTTAAGCAATTTTAGGCCCATGATTTAAACGTGATAAAACCCTTTCTTTCAGAAAAGGGAATAAACATACAAGAACATATATTTCCACATTTGAGTCTATAGGGTGTGGGTGTGGGTGTGGGTGTGGGTGGATGTAACTGAGAGTGTGCGTATGAAAATGAGGTCTATCTTCTTCAATGACTTCAAGAACACCCACATCCACCCTCTAGATTCGAATTCCTCGCATCGAAATACCTCGAAAAACGTTTTTTAGAAAAAAATCGATATTAAATGTTTTTTTGACCTTTCACCCACCCACCCACCTACTCACCCC